TTTGATAAATCTGCCGTCAATGAGTGGTGGCGACTTCAAAGCTGGATTTCCGGTGAAGGTGAATATGCAAATGATTGCAACGAGCAATAAGAAAACCACAATGCCTCCAACAATAGCCAAGTCATCTACGCTGCACGAATAATTTCTTATACGTTCAATGATAGGTTGTTTTTGAACTTCGGTTTCACCAACTTTTCCGTCTTTTTCGGCCTCCTTTTCCTTTTCGCTTTCATTGAGCTGAAAGAGCATGAACAAATGGAATCATCACTGGTCTCCCTGAATATTATGAATGTCAAAGACTTACCTTCACTGTTTCTAAGCCTTCATCGGGCAATGCAGCTTTATCTGTAACATCTTTGTTGGTGTCATTATCTTTGATCGAGTCGTCTAGTGTTTCCATTGAAGCTAATCCAGCTTTATTATTTGGCCCGTTGCCCAATTCTAAGTCTTCAGCTTGTTGATTATTCGATCGAAGGCGTTTTGGAATGAGATTTGGCAATTGCGATAGTTTAATGGCAGGGAATTTCGGTAGATATTTCTTGGCTGGTGGTGGAGCTTGTTCATTTTCCCCTGTGGTTTCAGTGAGTGGTTCCTTTTCCGGCTTTTCTTCTTTAGTCTCAATTTTTTCTTCCGATGGTTTTTCTAAATCATCCATCAAATGCGTTCATGTGTTAATTCATCAGTCTTTTCGTGATTTCATCAAGTGTTGAAATTACTACATATATTCTATGCTTACCTGCAGTTGGTTCGGCACCGTCAGTTTTCACTTCGGTTGGTGCATCACCGGTCTCTTCGTCTTTAGGGCCGGCTGCTTTCTTTGCAAATGGATTACGGAATTTGGGTAGTGTCAGGGGTGGAAGTGATGCCAAAAAGTTTGCTCGTGCGCTCTGTGGGGCAGCGTTTTCATCTTTTGGTTGTCCTTCAATTTTTGCTTCGTTGCCAGCGTTATCTAATAGTTCACCCTCAGCGCCGTCATTGTCAGCGTGCTTTGATTTTTTTGTGAAAAATCCTGGCATTTTAATACCACCGATTGGAATCTTCTTGGGTTTGACTTCGCGACCTTCTTCCTTCGGTTTCTTCTCTTCTGGGATTTCAATCACTTCTTCTCCATTGACCTTTGCTGACGCGACTTCACTTGATTTTGCCTCTTCAACTGGTGCATCTTTTGCATTAGTTAGCGATTCGATTTCTGGCTTCTTCTCATCTGTGTTTAAAAGTTTTTCCGTCTCTTTCGGTTCCGTTTCAATTTCAGCGGTTGGTGTTCCCGCTGGAACATTTTCCTTCTCATCTGTTTCACCCATTTTTATTCAAATTTATACGTATGGCAAACTGAAGGGAAAAAATAAAATTGAAAAAAATCAGTCATAATTGTTTAGCTGCACCATTTTATGAATTGATTAGTTGATAGGAAATCTAGGGACTAGCACGGATGTTAAAATGCAATCTATGACTGAATGTATAGTCGCATTAAAAATCTGTTGATTCGTTACACAAAATAGATTTCAAGCGGGCCTATTATTAATTCCCACATAATACATAATAGCTGCTGCTGTTGCTGCTACTTCTGTTCTTTCGTTATATAGCAACGGCTTTGAATGCGCAATCAGAGCAATTGAGATTTTTCATTGATTTTCATTATAAATTGGCCAGCAGGAATTGAATTCTGAGACTATGAAAACATATAACAAAGCATAATCCATTTCAAATATTTCACATTCAAAGACCACATCGATTGAATGGAGTATCAGTTGTTACATTTTGCCGTCAAATGCTTTGTGTATCAATCATATTTGGAGTCAAAAATCGGTTCGGTGATGAAAATCGGTTCTGTATGAGTCACAAGCAACAGGTAATTTTTGTTGCACTTTAACGTTCGCCTATCATCACAATGAGCTCAACAGATGACGACAAGTCAATCGAAGTTAGAATACAATAGAAATTGTTTAGAATTAACCTATTTCACAAGCTAAATTGCCTCTCAAAAACACACCGCTCTCCGCATGGCTATGTAATCTGGCTGGCATTGAAAAAGTTCAAAAAAAAAAAGAGAAAACTACAATTGTGCTTGCCATTCGTAACGTACAAATTACTTGACGCTCGATCGAATCAGAATAACAATGGAATGAGAATTTTTTTGTGAGAGTCAACAACATCATCATTTTCATCGCTATGGTCGAAATAAATATTAAAATATGTAAAAATTAAAAAGAAATAGATGTGTTCCTCATATTCGGCATAATCTTGTATTTTCCTCTTTGTCACTTCATTTCTCTCTGTTCTCTTTCTCAGTTCAATGTACATTTTCATACGGACAGCATTGTTTACAATTCAAAGAACAAGTTTGCAATTGTCGAATTTTCGTTAAAAACAAAAACAAAACTGGATTTATTGATCTAGACGAAACATTATAAAGATGGCTTAAAACAACCTAATCCATACCTTTTTCAAAGAACTAAACTCAACAAAAATATGCATAAAATGAATGCCATTCACAAAACCAAACAAAAGCATCAATGGAATTCTGCGAAAGAAAGCATTTAGCTTTTAATTTTGAGGTCGTAAAGTCGACGTTGTTTTTATGATATTCCTTTTTCGGCAATATTTTCCATTTCTCAGCATTATGGGCGAAAAAAGAGCATTAAAGGGAACGAAATGAAGAAAAGGCAAAATCAAGAATAAGAATAAGGTATGAATTGTCGTTGTGTTTCGTACGTACATCAGCATTGCTACGGACTAAGTAGTTCTACGTAAGTGAATATTAGTGAAATGCAGTGAGGGATAATAATGAAACAACAAGAGCATAAAATCGCTGAACCGTAACGCACAACTTCCTATCGTCACCTAGGCTATAAAGAGAGGTACGTGCGCTTACACTCGTACATGACACGCACATTGTTTGGGATACAAGAGGAGTTCATAGAGTGGAAACGACACCAAATTTCTCTCGGTTGAATCGGTCATTTGAGCGGATGAGATAGACCAAAATAGCTAGAAGCAACCGACACTACAGGAACGAGCCGAAAAGAATAAGTTTACCTGGTACATATACATATGCAGTATATGATATCAGCGTTTTCCTAACAACCACATCACATTTTCAACATGCACCGTCGCTCATTTACTGCACACACGTGTGCATTCGCTCATATGCAATGCAAAGCCACTGATGCATATTACTTCCAATGAAACTGCATTAAACAGATACGAATTTTTTTTAATGATGAATTGTTCTAACGCTATAAATTTTTTGATTCAATTCGATATAAGCTGTGTATGGTGCAGGAGGAGAAATTACGATGGCCATGTTCTGATTAAAATTCTTTCCGTTGCATAGGTTTCAACCGTTTAGTACATGTTTTATGTGTATTAAAAAAAAAAAAAATATAGTGTTGAAATTCGAGAGAGAGAGAAAACAGAAACATACGTTGCATTTTGTTGTTTCTTTTCATTTGATCATTTTATTTACGGAACACTTTCACCAGCGTGATGAGAATTCAATGACCTCTACTTGTTCCACTACGTGTGACCTTTGACTAACTGAATAAACTCAACACGACCATTTCTTATGCTTTGTCGCAATTTTCGCTCTTTCTTTCTTATTCGCTTGGATTTTACACCAACGCTACATGGAATACCTGCACTTCAATTTGAAACAACAACATAATAAACATAAACATTTTAAGTTTATATTATTTTATGTGTTGACTCGTTGTACATTCGGTTGCAAATTGTTTGAGAAGTGAAAATATAGGGACAAGTGCCGATTTTTATCTGCTAGAATTTGATACTTCGTATCGCAAGAGGTCGAAGTTCAATGACAGGAAATGAAAATGCTTCTATAAGCAGAATAATGCTGTGTGATTGAATATATGCTTAAGATGAAATGAGTGGTGAACATCCTCAAAGTCACCCATATGGATTTCACAGCTTTATACGCGAACAATTGATAATTATATATACACGCGCTAGCTATGATGGCGGTTCGAAAAAGTAATATCCACAAGCGAATTTATTAGAAACACACAACAAACCCGAAGTGTTCAATGTTGAATCGCAGCAGAGCGAAGATAAAATTAATCACAATCTCGACATGTTAATGATGCATATATGAAAATTATTATTTTCGTTTTTTCCGCGTCGTAATTTTTTTTCGTTTCAAAATACATACAATACATGTATTCAGCCAAATCACAACTGGCTAATAAAATATACATGTACATTCATTTTTACCATTCACGTATGCGGGTCAAAAAGCAAAACAAGAAAACCAAATGTATTCAATTCAGCATTTCACAGTGTTCTTTGCCTTAACTTGTAATTTTCATATATTTCCGTATTTATTCGTTGTGTTTCTTCATTTCTCCCTGTTTCCATGCTCCTTTTCCAACAGTTTCATACGCACATACTATAAAATCCCGGCCGAAGCAACGACAACAACTGTATAAATTATAATTAATCTAATTATATACACATTTCATCGAGTTTATTCAATAACAACAAAAAAAAAACATACACAATTTTTCGTCAGTGGATCATATTTAATGCAGTTGGATTGTCATACATTTTCTTTCTTCTTTCAATTTTCTGAATGCCATTCGCTCTTTTATAAATAAGAAAAACATATTTATCTTTCATTATGAAAACGCTTGCAATAAAAAAAAAAGTTTTTGAACGCCAAAGTATTTTGAATTTTTGTATTTAGGTTTTTGGTTGAATTTCAGTTCTATGCACTTAAACTTATCTTAGGGAATTTGAAGTTCATTTTGGAAAATAGTTTACATGATAAAACTTCGGGTAAATTTATCATTTTTGTTCCCTTTGAGTGTAAAAAAATACTTCAAGACTTTGTTTATTGCACTCTATAAGAATCAAGCCCATCATCTTCATACATTTGAAAAGAGAAGAAAAAATTCGGCCGTTTTCTAAAACACTGATCACGATCACTGTATGGATTTCGTCGGTCGGGCAAAGTTCAATTATTTGAAAAAAAAAAAAAAAAAATTCTGTTCTCAAATCATTTTCTATTCAACATGTTTTTTTGTTCGTCGCAATGAATGCATCACAACGGTCGTTGAGTTGGGTGTTTTGAAATGTATGTGTGAAAAAAAAAAATAAATGGAAAGAGACAAAAGAGAATGGACAAAAACGGCGCAAAATGATTTTTGTTCTCTGACTCTAAACTCGAAACTCTCATTACGACTGACGTTGATAATGATGCGGTGATGATTGTTTCGATGGTTGACGACGTTAATTGTATTTCCAGCGAATCTCAACATATTTTGTCAGTTCCATACAAAGCGCTTCAGTTTCATTCCGCAGTCTATATATATATATTATATTGTATATACATATAATGTGCTGTCCATTCGAGCGTTATTTTGTTTGATAGTTCCACGCAAAAAAGAAAAACATTCAAAATGGGACGTGCATTGTGAGACGTAATAATGAAGCAAAATTGATGATTAATTACCAAACAAATTTTTCAATACATTGGTGTTGGTTTTGTTCATAGAAATTACTCTGAAGAAAAATAAGCGAGAGAGCGTTAGCATAGCACATGTGGCCATTAAAAGAACCATCATCATGTTTTATAGTCTCCTTTAGCGGCCTGACAAAAATGGAAGAATTTTCGTTTGTTATTGATGTGTTCCAAGCACTGACATTCCGCTTTTTTTTCGAATCCGGGCCCTTTTTTACGAATTATTTTCTTCTTTTGGATGATTTCATTTCATTTCTGTTTGTTCAAAACAAATTAAATTTTGTTTCTCGAAAGGAGTGCAAGCTGAAATCTGAATATTTGTGAGATTGTGGCTTTGAAATTGCCACTGTTTTTTTTTCTCGAAATAATTTAAATAAGTATAACCAAATCAGAACATTTTTCGTCGATTTTTTCTGAGAATAGAATTCTTGGATTTCGACGCTTGTTCGTCGAAATTCTGAACGATGCGGCCGATTATCCGAATAACATCACGATTTTAATCGAAGTCGATTAGTTTGTATAAAATAGTGAATGAGCCTGAAATTGTTTAGGCATTGTATCGATTATATCAATCTGCATCATCAGAACAAAAAAGAATGTTTTAATAAATGTTGGGAAAATTCCCTGAATTCGTTGCATGTGATCGCCATTGAAACGCTCGCTGCTATTATTTATTCCAATTGAAATTTTGCGTCATAAGCTAGCGCTGAAAATCTAATCTACTGAATGTACAAATCTACAGACACACGGTCACACACCAAAAAATGTTAAAATCAAACGAGAAGAAAAAACAAATCGTCAATAGCTAAAATGGAATGATTGCAGTTAACGCTATAATACAACTTCTTTG